ACAGAGCATTGCGTATACGCCCCTTAGCCGTGGCGAAAATTAATGGGAGGGTAGGTGGAGGTTCATTATTAAATTACATAAATCACTGAACAGCGAACAGCGAGCCGATAACACCCCGAGCTGTGAACCCAAATCAGAATCAGAAGCAAAACCAAAACCAAAACCGAACCCAGAAATGTTGATCAACGATGACACATGCACACTAATGCAGGCAAACAAAAAAAAAATGCATGAAAAACTGAGCTAGGAGAGCCGAAAGGTAGATGCTCTTAGGGTCATATCTGGGAGGCACATACATATGCACATATATGAATGCAACTACAAAATCCTACATCCTAGTGTACAGCTGCAGGGCCCATTCCGAACGGAGCACCTACAGAAACATAATTTATGTCGAATTGAATCTGGATGTGATTGCTGCTGCTTTTATCTACTTTATCGCTTATGGATTTAGCTAAGATCGGGATAGCATCATGCACTATATACATGTGTGTATGTTTATGTGTAACCTCCCGACTGCAGTCACAATACCATTCACATACGAGTCTACTCGCATATATGCAGTTGCTGCGGGCACTGCTGGCCGAGTTGAGATACTCGAACTCGCATCTGTGCGCAATGTGTGTGTGTGTGTGTGTGTGTGTGTGCTAATGACTGTGGAGAGGTAGTGGTAGACGAATTAATTGAATAATCCGACACCTCGCGCTATTAAATTAAGTATGATTGTTGATGCTATTTTTTGTTGATTTTTTGCATTCGTGAAATTTATTTATTCATTCACACACAATTAACGATGGGCGAACCCCTGAAGTGGAAGTGAAAGTGGAAGTGAAAGTGGAAGTGGAGGAGCACATATATTGATTGTTGTTGTTGTTGTGTGGTATTTGAAACGACTCCTCGACCTCTTCTAAAAACCAAACAACCTGTTCGAAGTTTTTGTTTGTTTGTGGCTTGTCAGCAAAGTTCAAGCATCTTCTTGGTTATTCATAGCTGTAGCCAGAGTACGAGTACGGGGACGAGTACGGGGACGAGTACGGGGACGAGTACGGATACGAGTATTGATGCCAGTGGATTGTTGTTTTTGTTGCTGTTTTTGCTATGCTTAACAAATGGAATTATAAATATGGAAGCCCGGAATTACAAAAGCCTGGGCTTGGGCTTGGGCTTTGGCTTCGGCTGGGGCCTTTGGCCTTTGGCCACCAGTATGGTTTCCATGATGCTTACAGCTGTACGTCCTGTTCGTGGTGTTTTTTATATTTTTGGGTTTTGTTGGGCGTAAAGTTTCATCTGCTGTCGATATCAATATCGAGGAAACTCTCGCTTCGCTCATTTGCTGTTGTCAAGTCTCTGGTTGCCCTGGCAAAATTCATTTCATTTTCATTTCATTTCTCATGGTGACTCAGGCTCTGACTCCCCTGGGGGTCATATTGAAGCATCAATTTTGACATTGACTTTGCCTCAGAATTTTGTCTCTTTTGGGTGGAATGAGACATGCCATGCCGTGCTATGCCTGGGGTTGGAGCATTGGTACCAGTGGTTCCGTTGTTCGCTTGTTCGCTTGTTCGGCTGTTCGGTGGCCAAATTGAATATCATTGTTGCAAAAACGAGAAGCGAGAACCAAAAAGGAAAGCGGGAATGAGTTGAGCAGAACGCCAAAAAAACGAAAGACAGAACCAAGCAGAAATGGTAGGAGTACGAGTACGAGTATGGGGTTTGGGGTTTGGGGTATGGGGTATGGGGTATGGCATGGCGACTTCTCTCCTTTGCTCTCTGCCACGCGAGTTAATTAAGTATCTGTGTGTGTGAGTCTGTGTCTGTGTCTGTGGCTGTGTCCCTGCCTGTGCGTTGGTATTTGTATTTTGGATCTGTGTGTAAGCGGATGTGGCCAGAGGCGGGTCGAACGGAGGCATGGTCATATATTTATAGACGCGGTCTGCTGCTTGATTAAACAGACTCTCGACTCGACTCCACTTTGTGTGTTTCCGTTTGCTGTTTGCTGTTTGCTGTTGGATGCGATGGCCGCGGGTCGCATAGATATGAGAGCGTGTCACGCGACTCACGGGCGATACTTGGATACGATCGATAGTTATTAAAGCTACATTGAACTTCCCATTAGTTAGTTAGCAATCGACTTTTCTCACGCTATGCCCACAAGTCGTGCAATAAGTCTCCCCAGATATGGATTCTTGCAGAGATTCGCCTCTGTGTTCTCCATAAAAATGCAATCTCCTAGTTTCGATAGTTTCTTAGCCTTGGTACAGCTACTCGTACTCCCCTTTGCCATACAGATGAGAGCTTGTCACGACAAGGGAGGGAGATGGGGAGAATGGGGAGAATGGGGAATGGGGAATGGGAATGAACTTCCCCATTCTAAGACCCTTAGACATCTCCTCAGACATCTTTTGCGCATTCAACTGACAAATTTCATTTGTATTGATTAGTCAACTTGAGTTTGGGTGTATCCTCCTGCTCCTTCTGACCCCCTCCCCCCTTCTGTGTGTGGGCGGGACTGCTGCCGGCTTGGGTTCGGGTCCGACCACCGCGGGCAAAGAGTCACAGAGTCACAGAGTCAAAGTCTATTTTACATTTCAAAGTGTCAGACGCCATTAGAATTGCCGAGATCTGCTACTTCCTTCCTCGTGGTTCGATGTCTGTCCGTATTTTCGTTGGGTGGGGGGGAGGGGGGTTGCGGAGCAGAACCGAGCAGAGCAGCACATTCTTGGCAGCAGCACAAAACCCCCAGACAGTGCGTGAGAAATGTGTGCTACCCTCTGCATATATCGTTGTATCAGACAAGGCGACAGGATTCCTATCACGCTGCATATTATTGTTTTACTAATGTCGTCAGTTGGCGTTGGCTGAGGCCTTGCCCCAGCCCATGCCCCCACCAAACCATACCCTCCATACTACTCCCAAGACTGTGATAATCCTCTGCTCCAACCCCATCTATGATTTTGAAGCTCACTTAACGCACTTGTGCCTTGTTGGCCCAAGCATCGTTGCCTCTTAAAGTTGGCCGTGCATTTTGGAGCTCCGCTAATTGGGATTGTAATATGCAAGTGGCTCCAATTAGCTGGTGGCTGGTGGCCCCAGGGGGGAATCGCAATTGCAATTACAATAACAATTCCATACCAATATGAATCATTAGCCGTAGCAGTCAAGCAGAGCAATGATCCTACTTCAAAGGGTTATTGAGTGAGCTCCGGGAAGGAGCTAATGATTGTGGCAGAGCCTTGTGGCAGAGCCTTATGGCAGCACTTGACACTTGCAGTCTAAACAGCACTTCGGATGCAGCCTTCTCAATGGCTGGGAAGGCGACCGGAAATTCTGAACATTTTAAGCCTATTCCATGGCGAAAAGAGCTCTTAAATGCGGCATGGAGAACTTGAATGCAGCTTACGAGTAAGCTGGAGTAATCTTTAGGTCAGACAATACGAGCGCCTATGGTATTTCATTTTCGAGAGTTCTACATCTCGAAAGAAGAATCTCAATGCACATAAATAAATTCTAAAAATCATCATAGAGGTCTGCAAATTTTCCCATTATCCAGGCATCATTTTTAAACACTCAAACAGGCAAAATTGCAATCCGATCTGATCACATCCACCCTCTCGTGCCATATAAACTACATTGGAGCTTTAATAACAAGGAATCGGAATCGGAGTCGGAGTCGGAGGAGTTGATCTGAATATATTAAATTTCTAACGAATTTCTCGTTTATTAAATCATACGAATATCCGAGGCACTGACACTTCCTAATGCAGTTGTAGCCCACTTTTAACGGGGCGTCTAAGCCTCACAGGAATTGAGCGGAGCCTCGATTCATGCCTCTCTAATGTTATCGCAGCCTCCGATGTTGCTTGCCCAAACTGAGTCCAAGCTCGACGACATCTAAATGGAACTTATCAACTAATTGTCAGTTATAGCAATTGTCAATTGTTGATTTCCGTTGCAGCTTTGTTCTCTGGCTGTCAAACGCATTGCGATACCGATTCATGACTTCTGACTCCTGATTCCTGGATTCAGTTGTCATACAGTCAACGCATGTAAAATTATGTTTACATACGCAAAATGAGTTTGTCAGATATAATAATGCACATCTACCTACGTACATAGTACATACATACACATGCATATGCATATGCATATGCATATGTACATATATAAATGGCGCATGTTAAATCAACTGGAAGCCGCATCGAAAACGCATTGTTCAAGTAAATTATTTTACTGCTGTTGCTGCTGCTGCTGTTGCTGCTGCTGCTGTGGGGCACGAACTCCGCTGGGGGCCATTCATTTAGGGTGAAAAGTTTTGTTGTAATTGTTGTAATTTGTTGATGTTGTTGTTGTTGTTGTTGTTAACTAATATAGCCATAAAAATACAAAAATATTCCTTGTCACGAGCAGATTTGTTTTGTTAAGTTTTTTTTTCCTTTTGCGGTGCACTTAGACCTACATACATACATACGTACTTTAACGTACTTTCGAGTCTCAATTTTCTATAAATTTGTGCGAGTACATGTATATGTATGGGTGTGAATGTGTGTGTTTTTGGGGATTGGTGTGCGTGCATTCGAAATGCATTTGAACATTTTTGGCAATAAATACGTTTACGTTTCTAATACTAAAAAAAATAAATACAAATATAAAAAGGAGTCGAAAATAAATGTTCATTTTGTGGCAATGCACTTCACTCAATGGGGCAACATTTAAAGGTATATTCTAGGGGGCGGTGTGGTTGGATGTTATGGATGTTATCGGGTGGCATTGGACAAGCACACAGCGAGCGAGACGGCAAGAGAAAGAGAGAGAAAGAGAGAGAGAGAGAGGGAGATAGCGAGCGGCAGGCTGGGGCTTGGGGTTTGAGGTTTGGGGTTTTCTGGCTTGGGGTTTTGGGTGGATGTTTTTGGGTAGCGGCACGGGCACGGGCACGAGCACGGGCACGGGCACGCGCGAGAAAAGTCTAAAGTTTCGTTCAAGTAAAGTTTGGCAGTACTTACGCGTATTATCTTCTGATCACGTATTATCTTGCGTATGCAATTGACGATGAACGTAATGACCATGCCGCCAAGTATCAGGCCGAACACAATCACAATGATGACCACATGCTCCGATTGACCAGCCGTTTCGCCCTGCAAATCGAAGAGAGACAGAGAAAGAGAGAGAGAGAGAGAGAGAGAGAGGTACGGTTTAATTGCCATTTTAATTACATTATCAAATTACCGAGCCAAGCCAAGCCAAGCCAAGCCAAGCCAAGCCAAGCCAGTCGGTAATGGCTGTGGCTCTGTCTATAGGCTTCCTATAGAGAAGTCAAAATGCTCTCGCAGTGAGGAGAAATAAAAATAAAGTCTGAGCTAAAGCCAGTTCGGAACCAAATAGAAGCTCAAATTATATTCATTTGCACTCATGAATCGATTGGAAATGTTAAAATGTTAAAAGCCAAAGCAATGAAATCCCTTGTAATCCTAGCTGTTATTCCATGGAACTCTCTGGGGAGTGAGTGTATTTAATTGGACTTGTTATCACACCGACCGCATTGTGTGTCTATCACTTTCTCCATAAATACGCACACGCATGCATATATGCACACACACACATATGTACGAGTGTGTGTGTGTGTGTGTGTGTGTGTGGGTATTTATTCTTGGCTTCTGACTGGCATTGGATATTCATGGGATAATCATTAGCCGTCTTAGATGCCGTCATCATAAATTACATACATACATATATGAGCCATGTATACTCAGCATAAATTCTCGGCCAATTTTAATCTTGGCCAATTAAATAAACATAACATGTGCATGCGCTTCATTGGGCATTTGCTGGAAATATGCCCAAATGTGTGCACGCATTCAGTTTGCATCGTTTGACCAAATTAGAAATCATAAGCTAAAATAAAAACCCAAGAGCCCATCTCCCATCCCCATCCCCATCCCCATCTCTGTGCATAGCTAACGAAAATGAGCCCCCCATTACGAATCAAATTACATCTAATATTTGCCATAATTATAAAATCATTTCAACGAACAAATATCATTTTTGGTGTGAATTTCAAATTTGGTTTCGTTTCGGGCTTTTTCCAACAAAAAAAAAAATAAAAAATAATACAAATTATTCTGCACAGATATTTGGCAGAAATTAAGCGGAAACATTTGACCAAAATTAAATGGAATTTTGCAGAAAATTTCTGAAATTAAATCAACTAATTGGATGAATTCCATATTCAGATTGGCTCTTTGATTTTTGGCTATTGCTGTGGACCCCACAATGGTGTATATGTATATTTGATGGCGTAGCGCTGAGGGTACACTGTGGAGTGTAACAAATTAATGGAAATTCTTCGGCAGTTGCAATGGAAAAATGTAGAAGTAATTCCACGACTGCAAAACATTTATATTATATATAAAATATAGATTTACATATATATAAATATAAATATTTGTAGCAGGTATTATCGATGGAATTTTTTTAAATATTTACATAGCTAAAACTCTTTTGCAGATTAGCACTTCTTGCATGGTTATCCATCTGCCAGTACGATTTTTTTTGCTATTTGTAGCAGCGTGATACGTGAACGTGATACTAGTCGTTCCCCACTTTTACGAGTAGATTTTTCTGCAAGATGGCTTTACGAGTTCATTTGTCTGCTGTGGCGTCAAGGGGCAAGGACATGTGGGAGGGGTCTAAGATTTAGCTGCATGAATCATTCCCTGTGATGTCGGTGAACGGTGTCGGTCGGTCGGTCGGTCGGTCGGTCGGTCGGTCGGGTCTGACTTTATCAAATCTGATGTCTAATGCGTTGATGCTCAACTTTTGCTGTGGCTATGGCTATGGCTATGTGGCAGTGGCTCCCTGCAAATAACTGTTATTTACAGCTAACGAACAGAGGAGTGAGTCCCGTCCCAGCTAAAGCCGTCCTGTAATACAAACCTCAAACTTTGGCAAACAAAACTTATTTGACCAACTTTGTGTTTGTGCATGCATGCCCTGTGAGTGTGAGTGTGAGTGTGTGTGTGTGTGTGAGTGCTTGCTCGTTTACTTGTGCCAGTGTGTGTTTGTGTGTTTGTGTGTGTGTCTGCATTTGTTTGTACGTGAGTGTTTTTGGGTGTTGCCATCATCGGCGTGTTGAGCATACTTATAATGAGAGAAGGGATCGGCCCAGAAGTCGGGGCCAACGAGTTTGCCTATAATTAGATGCACGTACAACGCTTTGCCCCACATTGAAAATAACCTCCCCCCCCCCATTCAGTTCGTGTGTGTGTGTGAGTAGGCGTTGCACTTACCGTACAGCTCTCCTCATCCCATCGAAATTTACAATTGTCTAGGCCATTACATTCCAAATCCTTTGATATGCAGGTCGCGTCCTCGCAATCGTATTCGTCCTCGGTGCAGGCTGTCGGAGCGTAGCACCCAAAAGAGTGCAACATAGTGAGAGAGAGAGGGAGAGGGGGAGAGAAAGAGAAAGAGAATGAGAATGAGAGACAGTTGTAGAGTTAGAGAAAGTTGTAAAAAATTTGGCACAAAATGGCAGTTCAAGTGAGAGAGAGTGTATGTGTGTGTGTTTGTGTGTGTGTGTGTGTGTGTGTGTGTGGAAGAAAACAGTGCCAAAATGGCAATCAAAGCACCAATCGTGGAAGCACAGTGGAATGGACAATTGATTTCAATTGAAATGGTTTTACACACCCCGAAGCGAATCGAGTGGGATCGAAGGTGGGTGTAAAAGGCCTCATGAAATTGATGTTGACACTCAAACTCTTTTCAATGGCCAATTCAAAGTAATTCCACACCGAAAGGGTTGGCATTGATTGAACATGAAGTCCACACTTTCTTGTTTCATGGCAATTAATAATTGAATTGGCTTTATTTGCACTCCATCCGCCATCTGTTTAATGTCAGCTTAATTTAATTTTAATCCGACATTAATTAAAGCGAGATTTCAATTCAAATTTCAAGTTCTCTTCTCAAAATAAAATTAAGTTCTGATTACATATATACATACACTACTTGTATAAGATCAGTGTTTCTATTCAATATGCAATCAACATTAAATGTATTTATTTACTTCAACTTGAAAATTGCTAAAACTAGACATTCGAGCTATTTTTTATAGAGTTTCACTCAACGTATTAAACTACCACCGATTAAATCATTTGAGTAAGAATACCAATGCCATGCCTCTTTGGCCCTTTTACCCTCCCAATTGGATTAATTGGATTAATGTCAGTTTCGATCTGCCGTTTCGTCGATTCACTGTAGATGAGTTGTTCACTTTCTTTTCACTTTTTATGCTCAACTGTCAATTCAACTCCAACGCAATTCGATTTGTGTTTAATTTTCTATCAATTTGAGGTCTCGAATTGATGGAATTCTCCATGCTGCCAGTCCACAGTGCAGTGGGCAGGAGATGGGACAGGCGGAAAAGGCGGGAAAGGCGGGAAAAGCGGGAAAAGCGGGAAAGCGACGATGGAAACCACAGGGCAAATGCACGTAATGTCGAACATAAATCGCTCAGGCAACAACAATTATTGCCGATGCTGGCTATGGTACTACTCGTACTCAGGACACAGATGGATCTGGAGGAGTAGATGTTAGATGGAGCTCGAGGATTCGGAGGATTCGCCGTCTGGCTTCTGCCTAAAAGTAAACAATGCTGGCCCCAGGACAAAGGACAATCGTTGAATGACAAAAGAGTGCTTAGCCTTTGCCTTTGGCAACTGGCGGCAATCACGCAGAACCCTGTGCGCCAAACAAACAGACACACAGACATTCAGAAAGATAGATAGATAGATAGATAGATAGATGGGTAGATGGGAGTGTGAATGGGGAACGGGGAAGGAGCAGGGGAAGGAGGATATGGTGGATGACAGAGTCAGATAGTTGGTTAGACAAGAGATTTCCACTTTCGCCTCTGTTTCAGCCTCGTACTCGTTCATGGGACTGCCAAATGGGCAGCCAAAAAAAAAAGGGAACGTGGCAGGGGAGGCAACCGCCTCCAGTGCCAACTCCGGATTTAGGGGGAGCTTAGCACCGGATTGCCCCAAGGATTTCGGTCATGCCTTTGTACTTTCAGCCTGAGCATTTGTTGCCAATTCAAGGGATTTGCCATCATCAAAGCAGGCCAGAGGATGGCAAGGACTTACCAGCTCCACGGTCCCGAAACGCGGTGTACAGAATGCCGAATGTCGAATTAATCGCGATTTGATCTGCATAGAAACGCAAGTGCAAAATGTTTGATTCCGCCGTAATACTCTCGCCAGCCGAACCGCAAAAGTTTTTCACTCTGTAAAGGGCAAAACAAACAAATGGAAGAAGTTAATATTGATGTTAATTGGGAACTGGCTGAGGCTTGTTCTCTGGAAAATGTTAGGCTAGAATCTATGTGCCATTTGAATTATTTATTTATTGTTTCGCTTGGTTTGTACAACTGCTAAATATATATATGTATGTATGTATGCTGTAGACTCAGATGCGGATTTCTGTATTAGCGTAATGGCGCAACTTAGTTTTTGGATGTGGTTAGATCTCTAAATTCAGAGCGAACAGCAGCTAACATGTTAACATGCTGTTACTGATCGCTGTTACCGCTTACTGTTACCGCTAACTGTTACCGCTTACTGTTACCGCTCGCTGTTACCGCTTGCTGTTACCGCTTACTGTTACCGCTCGCTGTTACCGCTCACTGTTACCGCTCGCTGTTACCGCTCGCTGTTACCGCTCGCTGTTACCGCTCGCTGTTACTGCTGGGAGAGCGGTTCTTTCCACACGGCTCTCATAGCGTTTGGCATGCAAGTTCGAATAACTTATTACATGCCGACCCCCAAGTGAAAATGTGCCTAGAAGTGGTCTCTATGGTGCAGTCAAAGAAATCGAATGGCTCCAAGAGGACATGGAGATGCTGATCTGATGGCTAAACTTTCCGACGAGTGCTGTCACTTTAAAGCTGAGGATTCCTTGTCTGGAATGTCCATGAGAGCTACACTCACCATTTTCAACACAATTTAATCCGTTGTAACTCTGAACCAGACTTAATATTTCATTAAAATCCATGTACACATGCTTGCAAGAAACCTTGCGAGTCCAAAGTAGGCGGGTGCTTAATTGTTCTGCTCTTTGCTGGATTTACTGTAGATCTCTGTCTCTCTAATCTCTTTAATCTCTGTCACAGGTAAACGTGAGCATATTTGGTAGGGTTTACTGTCGACTCCCGGCAAAGTTCCAGTTCTTGGGCATATTTAATTCTGGCAATATATGGATATTTTGGCATCGATAGCAGACGCGTAATCGATAAATAAATAATTTATAATATAGCTTAAATGATGGCGTTCACTGAATATGGTATTTATGTTCATTCGTTCGTTCATTTGGTGGCCATCGGCGTTGCCCCAGTCGTCGTCGTCGTGGCTCCTGTCTTCTGGCTCCTGTCCGTGCTGCTGCCTTTGGCGCATTTCACGCTTTGCTGACATTTTCTGTGGCTGCCCCAGAAAGTACGCTACGAAATGTTGGTTCGTGTGTTCGTGTGTGGGCTGCTGCCACCCGTCGTGTGCGATAAATTGTTACGAAAAATGAATTTAAATGAAAGCTGAACGAACGAGCGACAGGAGCAGCAACAGCAGCAACAGCAGCAACAAAGGCATCAAATCAATGGCCATGGCTGACTGCAAAGACAGACAAGCTTGTGCTGCTGCTGCTGCTGCTGCTTCTGCTTCTGCTTCGACCTGCCTTCCTCCCAGTGCCACCATTTTCCATTTTCCGAGAGCTGAAAACGCCAGTCAATCAATTTGAGTGTTGTCCCGAGCATCTGTAGCAGCAACAAGTGGAAATGTATTGGCGCGTTAAAAGCGGATGTCAATGCGTGTCGAAGATGGAGGAGCAGCCAGACAGCGAGACAGCCAGACAGCCAGACAGCCAGTCAGCCAGGAGAGAGTCAGTCATCCAGTTCGCCAGCTAGTGGGCAGGGCAGGGCACGGCAGGACATGGGGCACGGACACGAGACACGGGCTCGGGCTCGGGCTCGGGCAGGGATGTACGAGTCAAAGGCGCCCGCCACTTCCGCTGTCGAACAATTTACTTTTGGCCGGTAATAAATTGAAAATTTGCCTGGGCTTTGATCTCTCCGCTTTTTGGCAATGCGGAAATTGGTTTGTGGCATTGCGTATACGTATACCCGGCCGAGTGCACAGCTCTCCCGCGCTCTCTGCAGCTCTCCCGCGGCACTCCAAAAGCAATTTGTCAGTGTTGTAAAACGCAGCAGAAATGTGATTAACCTTTCAAGGTACCAAGGTACCAAGGCACGAGGAATGAGGTACGAGGTACGAGAATTCCCATGCAAAGTCAAAGGCTGGCAAAAGACTCACCGCAACGGCATCACTGTCTGCTCGGGAAATATGTCCAGAAAGTTTGTCTCGCAATCGTTCGGTTTGCTCAGCTTAAAGTCCAAAAATTTGAGGAAAATCTGTGCGAGAGGAAGAGCAGGAGGAGGAGAAGGAGGATATGGAAATGGAAGTTCCAAGTAAAATGTTTCGAATTGACATCGAGTCATCCGCAACTCACCTTCCAGTTCTCCTTGACCTGGATGCGCCAAATGCAGTCGAGGGCTATCTTGTTGCGGATGACCTGCTCCCGTATATCCGCCGGCACATCCGTGGAGTTGATGAAGCCCTCGTAGCCATCCTTCTCGATGGTGCAGTTGAGGTCGGTGCTGGGTGCCTCGCGGTTCCGATCGAGGTACTCGTACACGGCACTGAAGCCGGTGTACTCGATGGTCTCGTCCGAGTGAAAGTGCAGCCACAGATAGCGCTCCTTGGAGGTGATTTCCGGTGGGAAATCGGTGCCGCAATACTTGCCAATCAGCGTGGAGAAGCCGTACTGACCGTCGCGTATCTGCAAGAATTTGGCTTTAGATCTTCAGGACTGTGTCTGTGTCTGTGTCTGTGCCTGCGTCTTTACGCAATAAGCCAGCCAGCTGCCACATGGCAAATGGCACATGGCAAACAGTTTGTCAGGGCCTAAGCCGCTTTGGCAATTGGCAAGAGCTTCGAGCATGGGCTTGGGCTTGGGCTTGGGCTTGGGCTTGGGCTTGGACTTGGACTGAAACTGAGACTCTGGCTGCCTTTTGGTTATGTTATGGCAGAGTGCATTCAAATCAGGCTTACGACTTGCCGGCAAAGACAACATTCAATTAAAACTTCCAATTTTAAGGTTACGGGGCCCGGCATAAAAAGACCAGGCCAGGCCAGGCCAGGCCAGGCCAGGATCTGTTCAACAAAAAATAGAGGCGAGGCAAAAACGGGCAGTAACAAGGAAAAGTCGTAGAAGAAACAAATCGAAAACTTTGCCACGCCATGGCAAAGCCCTGCAACTAAGCAAGTTTTTCGTTTCATTCTCCGTTCGTGTTTTTTGTTGTTTCTTTGCTGTTTTTTTTCGTTTTGTATCTAGCTTCATTTTGTTGGCTGTGTGTGTGCAACAAAGTTTTGCGTTTGTTTTTATGCACTGACGCTGACCCTTTCGTGGCAGCCCGTCTCTGTCTCTGTCTTTGTGCGCCTGTTGCCAGCCAGATACTCGTAGCAGTTACCATCCACATCCACTGTTACTTACTTCGAGAAAATCAAATTTGCACTCCTCCTTGGCCTCGATATTAAACGAGTTGCGAAAGTCCAGGCGTATGATTTGTCCCTTCGGCGCTGTAATTAGATGCAGGCATCAAGCATCAAGCAGAGCGCAGTGCAGAGCGCAGTGCAGTGCAGAGCGGAGCGGGGAAGAGAAAGAAGATGGCACAAAAGGCAACACGTTAGTCGACAAATATAAATTCCATAATCCCACCACCACTACCCCAACCCCGGCTCCGACCGCGGCTCCGACCCCAACCCCGAGCTTACTCAAAGTTAAATGCCTCAGAGCTGAGCGACTGATTAACAACGGCTCAGCGCCAGCTCAAGTTCTGTTTCTGCTGATGAAGTGATGAAGGGATGGATGGCAGGTTCGGTGGAGCGTGGCTGGGACTTGGACTTGCAGTTGGAGTTGGAACCGGGGCGAGAGAGAACAGACAGGACCAAAGATGGAATGCACTTCGAGTCTGGCGGGAGATTCCCGAGAGCCCAAGCACAGCGCACAGGACACAGCGCACAGGACTCGACTCATTCATTCATTCACTTAATTAAGAAGTGTGGCGCTGTTCTGGCTCCACCTGGGGCGCTCTTCTCTCTTGGTTATTACTTTATGATTTTATGATTGCTTTCACACCACGGAGGGGGTGTTCCGAAGTTCCCTTTTCTTAATAAAATAATAAAAATTCCTACAACTAAAAAAATATATAAACTTTGCTCAAAGCATTTCTCAAAGCACCAACCCCCCCTCCCAGTTTCTGGACTGCTCCTAGACTCTCGACTAGACAACGAAAATTGGTAAAAAATGGCACACAATTTCCCCATTTAGAAGTAAATCGAAACTATAATATGCCTGCGATGAGATACATCCATCTAGAGGGCTTTTTCTTTTTCTTTCGGAGTGGAAAGGCAGAGACCCAATCATGGTCTCGTATCCGGTCGTATCTATGGCCAAAATGAAAGCATCTGGGGACTCATTTAGTGGGCTGCATGAAAAGAAGAGGGCATCAAGATGCCACACCCACACCCAGATTCATTCATTCATTCATTCATTCACACTCACATGCAGTGCCGACTCACACACATATTCAGCTAACGAATCCTTGGCATGAATCAATGGCAATGGCAATGGCAATGGCAATGGGTCGGCCTCTGCTTCTGCCTCTGCCTCTGCCTCTGGAGCTGGCATTTGAAAAAACATTTTCTCCTGTTCCGATCCGCTCCTTCGTGTTGGCTGTGAAATGGAACCTTTGTGGCCAATGTGGCATAACAACACACACACACACACACACAGACGAGCACTCAGTCTCCAGTCCGTAAACACATGCATATATACAGAAGCAATTGCCAAGGCGTTAGCACCCACACAAGCACACATAAGCACACACTCACACACACACACACATTACATAATGGAGATGGACAAGTAATGAAAGTTGGAATCACAGAGAGAGAGAGAGAGAGAGAGAGAGGGAGGGAGGGAGGGAGGGAGCCAAAGGCTGAGGCTGAGCCAAACAAATGCCAAAGTGAGTGAGGTTTGAATGGGAATAGAATTTCGCATTGATTGGCCTTGAAAAAAAGGAAGGAACCAACTTAAGGTTAGTCCCCCAGTGGGGTGGGGGCTGTGGCCTGTGGTCTGTGGGCTGTGGGCTGTGGGCTGTGGGCTGGGGTTTGGCTGCATTAGTATTACCAAATTACAAAGCACAGCGGGCGGGGCAGGGAAAGGCAGGTAGAGAGCATAATTTTTGAATTGCATTTGCAGTTTCATCCAACGAAATGAAACCTAATTACAAGGCAGAACAGACCAATTGATGGTTAGCCCCGAAAAGAGGAGAACATAAAAGAAAAGAAAAGAACAGCAAAGAAACGAAAAGGAAAGGCAGGCCATGGATTAGGATTGGAAAATGCATTCATGATTACAGGCAATCGGATCGGGTGGGTACTGTTTGTTGTCGTACTTTCTGGGGGGGAAAATGCATGACAATTGATTTGCAAATTTTTGGATATTTGGCAGGCTACTCCCCTTGGCATGGGCTCCGCCAGTAGATTGCTTTTCTGAGGGACTTTGACTGGATGGCAAAGGATTTCGAAAGGTATTGGCGTACTCGTGTTTTCTGAGGGGAGAACTACGAAAAATTTGCACAAATTTTTGATACCACACAGGCTGGCTGGCTGGTCTGGCTGGCTGGCTGGCTGGCTGGCCTGGCTGGCTGGCTGGCTGGCTGAGCTGGCTCTCCCATGGCCAAATGTCCTTTGGCTCACATTCAGGGGGATGGTTTTTCTGTGGGTTCAGCTGGAACGTTATGCCATTGTTAACAGTGACAGATTTGCTGGGGAAATTAATTAACCAATTTTGGACACTGCTGTGGGTTCGTATATGGAAATGTATGGGTACTTCCTTAGGCATTCATTCATATACTTGCGCACGTAGATTGATTCGAAATCAGGGGGTTGTGGGGATTGGTTTGCATTTGAGGCATTGTCCAGTGGGACTGGTTCTTATGGGGTTGCAACAAGGCAACGAAGACACAAATTTCCCAGTGGCAATGCCAGAGACGATCCATTAACAAATGGCATTCCTTTTTTACTTGGAATGGACAATGGATTCAGTTTGATCTGCCAGAAGATATTTTCAATTTAATTAACCAATTTTGGAAATAGAAGAGACACCCTGGACACTGCTTAGCTTGGGAATCCTTTGCCTTTGCCTCTGCCATGGATGGATGCATCTCTCTCATTTGGTTGCTTTTGTTGGTCTGCTAAGGTTTACTTCCATTAACATGGTCTTGCCCACACCCACACCCACACCCACACCCGCAGCCCACACACCCACACATTGATATGCAAATAAGCAGCTGTCTCCGGCTATGTCTCCGCCTCTGTCTGCTCTACTCCCTAAGCACAACCCCCCTTAACCCGCCCCCAACTAATGCTGAACACACACATACTTGGGGTGATGTACATACATATGTATGCATGTATGTATGTATGCTGACATATTTGTAGATAGACTCGAGATACTGAGACCCGCTGATGCGTGCTTATGGAAAGTCAATCATTCGCTTTCAGGTTTTATCTGTCAGCTCTTGACTTTTGCAGTGACATTATTTTGTCTTAACTGACAAATGATTTGGCCTCTAACCGACTTTAGATAAGCATTGGAGTTGACTCGATTCGATTCGATTCGAGCTGAGGCTGAGGCTGGCGATGGAGATGGAGATGGAGCTGAGGAAGAGGCAGTGAAGCGAATGCAGCTCAAATATGATGACTGCTGGGCACAATCCCCCCATTGGCAATCCCCCATCGAGGGATTGAATTGTGCTGCAAGGGCCAAGGGGAGATGGCAGATGGGTGAGGGGAGGGGGGGAGGGGGTGAACGAACACGCCAACGCTTTTAAATGGGACACACAAAACGGTCCCTGCCACTGGAATCTGTGTGGAGCATCTTACGCATCAGCGCCGTCTAATGCTGCCGCTCCAATGGGTTCCCCATTCCCCTTCCCCTTCCCCACACCCCATACCCAGTTGCTCTCTGAATGACTCACTGAGTGACTGACTGAGTGACTGACTGGCTGGCTGACTGACAGACTGGCATCTGGTAATGTCAACAGCCAACAGACTTGGCCAAAAGACTTTGCAATTATTTGCAGTAGCTTGGCTCGGCTCGTCCTCGTCGCCAAGTGCTTGCCATATAAACTTTTACGAGGCCTGCACTCCTCCACTCTACTCCACTCCACTCCACTCCACATGCTCGCACGCCACAGGAAGTTGCCTGCGAATTGGCTGCCATCAAAGCTCCTATTTGTCTTTGTGTCTGTGGAATAAGGCATCAGATCAGCAACAGATACAGCTACGGATACAGCTACAGTATGCGGGGCTGCTTGTTAATTGCTTAGCCGTAGATAATCAACCGAATGGGTGGGCCACTGCTGCTGCTGCTGCTGCATCAATGAATGGATGAGGCATGAATACTCCATCCTGCATAATACAACCTGCAATTACTTGGCTCGAGCATGACACTCAAATAATTTCCATATAAATCGCAGCTAAATCTCTAATCTCTTCGGTCCGTAGGACTCGGATGGGTTGAGTGTCGTAATTCGTTGTTCGTATGAATAGATATGCACTTGCTGAATGAATATTCGAATAGCCGGCTATGCATATTGATTGCCATGAACTATTTGGTTATTCGGTTATTCTGTTCTGCATTTGTTTCGGCTCGACTTCCCTTGGATGTTGAAGTCAGTCATTGGGTAATTCCTCAGCTGGGTAATGTAGTCGATTGTAGTCGATTGATAATAATTTGATAATTGTTTCCACAACTTAGTCGTTTTACTCGTTTGATTACTAATAGTGTGGGTAAAATTCATTCGTTCATTGGCAGTCACCAGCATCAACTCAATAATAATAATAATTTCACCCCCTCCACTCACCTGTTATCACTCGCGTGCAGTTGATGTTCTTCGGATACAGATTGGGATACTCGGGACTGTAGAGCTCGTTCTTGGTGGCATCGCCCTCGACAAAGAGCCGGCAGCGGTCCACCTGATCCTCCTCCGCCTGCCGCTCGCTGCGACCTGCACGCGGTGGTCGAGAAATGGTCAGGGCATGCGGCTCCTCCACAAGCACCTCATCCTCCTGCCGGGTAGACTGACCGTTGAGCCCGATGGCAAATGCATTGGCTGCTGTGAATGGGCTACCACCGACGGCACTGTCTTGGTGGTAGCTCAGTGATTGGGTAGCCACCCAATCCGAGCGATTTGTCACTGCCCCACTGCCCGCAGCAGCTGAAACGACATGGAAAAACGAAATGGAGTTCACCTGAGTACCAATACGAGTATGAGCATATGCAGTTTCGGTAGTAAAAGTGAAAATATATATACACACATACATGTACATTTGTGTACTTATATATTGTATATTCAGACATTTTTATGGTGGATTGGGGGGTAGCATTACATTTTATTATGATAATAATAATCATGAGCATTACAATTTATGCGGTGAGCGCGTTTCCTTTTTTAATAATGCGCATAACTTTTGCCAGAGTTACAGCAAAAGTGAAACTAAAAAGAGGTAAAGTAAAGTACAACAACAGCAACAACAGCAACAACAGCAACAACAAAAAGCAACCTCATATACATCGTGAATAAAGGTAAAGTAAATACATATGCATGTATGTATGTATGTATGTATGTATGTATGTATGTTTAGTTGGTTGGCTGGTTGGTTGGTTGGGTACGCATACTTTGTTAACTTTCGCATAACGGAACACCACACGGCATGCCACGCCACGCCACGCCACGCAACGCAACGCCAAAAAGTAGGCAATGCAAATTTTTTTTTAAGCTTCAACTTGGCCTCTCACTTCCTCTGAGTGCCCATCCATCCTGCCACTCTCTAACCACTCTCTCTCTCTCTCTCTCTCTCTCTTTCGTTCTGTATGAACTACGTTGCCAGAGTAGCTGTAACTGTAACTGCAGCTGTAACTGTGACTCTGACTGTGACTGTGACTGTAACTGTAACTGCATCTAAAAAACAATCGTTAAGCCCATGCAAAGTAGCCCAAAGCACAGCCCACACACACACACAAAGAAGCAGCCTCACACACAGAAACACATGTGGCTGAGAGAGTACGACTGCGTGTGTGTGTGTGTGTGTGCACAGGGCATTGGCACGACTGTAAGCTAAATGCAACGACAACTGCAACGACAACGACAACTACAACCAAGCAAAACCAACACGAAATTAGGAAAGCCAACGAAGCAGGGATGCTCTCTGGCAGCAGGATTCCAGTTTGATTTGCTAAATTGAATCGAATGTGGGTAAAACAATCTAAAGTGCCAACTAATTGCTGTGGGGCTTCTGTGGCGCAACACACCGCAACATAATTGGGCAAGAGAGAGAGAGAGAGAGAGAGAGAGAGAGAGAGAGAGGCGAGTGAGAGGCGCCTTTGAGCTTACCGCAGCAGCTTGACATTCATTTGGAATGTAATTAATTGTTATATATACGCTGAAGCCAATTATTGTGTGCTTAAAGGTGTGTGCAGTCTTGGAATTCTTTCTGTAAGCATGATTGCAGAATTATCTACTCACTGTAATTAAATATAATTGTAATACATACATATATGCATCAATTATAAATATATTTAATTACTTTGCTCTCACTCGTGTGCTTTTATTACAATGTTAATCAATGAAAAGTGTTTTTATTTTTTGGGTTTATTTTGCATTAGTTATTCAGTGAATCATTCATTTAGCATTCATTCGGTACAGTTGTGCTCAAGACCCGGGTGTACCATTTCCAGTGATCGTTGAGTTACATTCGAGTTGAGCTTATGGGTCATAGGGTATTGCAGAAACAGACGACAGAAGTCGGTGACAACACTAACACAGTCACACTCTCTGTACACACAGGCACACAGGCACACACAGGCATGCATACAACATACCCCCGTGGGCACATGTGAAGTGTTTGCCTCACATTACATGGCTGCTAGTGCCTAATGATGTAGCAACAAATTTAATAAACATATTAAGTGTTGATGTTTTTGTAATCGCACAGGGCAGTGCCAGATGTTACTCCACTTCTGCTTATGCCTCTGCCTCTGCTTCTGCTTCTGCTTCCATCTCTATCTCTATCTCTGCCTCTCTTTTTCACCCCTTTTCTGGTTTCTGGTTTCTGGTTTCTCGTTTTTTTTTTTTTTTTTTAAACACACTCACACACACAACTCTGTGGCATCCATTTTGCCGTTAGTCAAAAGCTGCTTATTTCCGTTCTGGTTCTGGTTGTGTTTGTGCCTCTGTTCCCGTTCCCCTTCCGTTTCCAGCTGCTGGCTGCTGGCTGCTGCTGCTGCTGCTGCTGTTTCTGTTTCTGTTTCTCTTGCCATGTTTTGTGCTTGCAACTGTAGTGGTTGTCGTCTGTGCAGCGTTCGTTCAACTATTTGCCACATCAATTAAATGCGAATGAACATTAAAATTAATTTAAATAAGAATATTTCAAAATGCATTTGGTATCTAATGAACCGTGAAAACTTTGCCCCAAAATGAACGCACTCAATCTTTCTAATTAAAATTGCAATAATTTATGGTTTTTGTTGCACAAATTGTCGTTGTACATTTTTGGGGTTTTGTTTAATGGCATTTCGTGCAATGCATTGCATTGAAATATTGCCATAATTGGGCTTAGCCGGCAATGGGAATTCCCACATACAATTGCAGTTACAGTTGCAGTTACAGTTGCAGTTGCAGTTACAGTTGCAGTTACAGTTGCAGTTGCAACTGTGCCACTTGAGTCGTACAGTTCCATTTTGATCATCATTTAATTGTGGAAATTTCCGGTTTGCTTTGCACACACACACACAATTGTCACACGCTAAATACACACTAAAGCCCATAATTATAATTGGTCTAAAAGAGCTTTGAAATTCCGAGCTGGAGTTGCCCTGAGCTACGTTAAAGATTTGCCTTTTGATAAACTGTTATTTGCTTAATTTGTTTGGGGATTGTGTCCACTTGTTTTGTGCATGGAAAATATTGGCATATTTGATCTGAAAGGGCAACAAAATTCTTTGTTAGAGTTGCCAACCCCCAGCTCAGGCCTCAGGGCTGCATTTTGATACACATTTGTTGGGGTTTCTGGTCTGCTATGCTCTTCGCTTCGCTTCGCTTCGCCCTCCCACTGTCTTGTGTCGATTTCAGTGGTGCCGTTTGTAAACCACAAGTTAAACTTTCAACCAGAAGTTCTCCTGCAAGCCCTTCTGCATCTGCTTCTGCTTCTGCTTCTCTCCCTCACCCCCTCCATCTTGTTGTTTTTTCTCTCTCTATATTCCATGCTTGGTATCCAAGTCATTGAAGCTCAGGCTGGGCCTTCGACTCCATCGCGTTGTTCATTTATATTCATATTTGCATTTGTATAGCAAGTGTGTCTGAGTCGGTGCATCTGTCAGAGTGTGTGTGTGAGTGTGTATAAAGTATCTTTTGCCACGCCCTCTATCCACACACAGCTGCTCCATCTGTCCCCTCCCTCCCCCTGCTATGCTAGGGGGCCTTGAGCACATTCCTCGCTGTCGTCTCCTCGCATGTATTTTATTCGTCGACGCAGTTATTTGCTTTAATACACTCAATAGACTTAACACATTTTCCACGCCCCCATCTACCCCCCATTCATTCATACTCTGCCCCCAACTACTGCCCCCTCCTGCGCCCAGACTCTGTGTGTTTTGTAGTTTTGCAGCAATAAATTTTGCATTTTACTCGCTCTGCCAGAGACACCGACACCCCCCACCAAAGGATGCAGATGAGGCGAAGAAGCTGGTAAAATAAAAAATATATCATTCCAGCGAAAGACTTGTGAATGAGTCCGGCACAGTGGTTGTCAATGACCGAACATTAATTACACAAACTGAATATATAATATACCTATATATTTAAAGCAATAAAATGTTAGTTCAAAACTGCATTAATATGTCGAAAACAAATTACTTTTACTTCAATTAATTGACATGTAAAATTGGAGAATTTCATTTTTAGTTATGCTTTTATTTGCAGCTCTTTTTAGCGCCTGGTCTGAAGATCTGAGCTGGAATTACGAGGGCTTACAAGTCAAACAAAGCGGCAAGCTGAGATTAAATGGGGAAATAACCAAAGCAATTTGATTGCCATAAGCTTTAATATTTTGACAATATTTGAATGCTGCATAATGCAACTAAAAGCAATAATTGATACTTTAATTTGCTTTGGTTTCCCACCACTGTGCGCCTTCGGGCATAATTGCAACTGTGACTGTGACTGTGATTGTGACTTTGTCTGTAACTGTGCATATTTATAGTTTTGTATTGTCTGCCAGCGAGCACAGAAATGGCTAAAACAGCCAGAGAAGGCCCTTTGAGAGAAGGCCGAAACAGCACGGTGACGGGTGGTGCGGGTGGAGCAGCAGCAGAGGGAGGTTGCATTCGTAGCAAAATGTAACTAAGTATATAATAATTTACAGTTTGCATTAAAATTTTCGTCTGGCAACTGGCAACTGGCAACTTGCAACTGGGTCTGGGCTCCTTTTGGGGACTGCATTCACAAAGCACATAATTTCCTCATGATTTACTAATTGCTGGGAGCCGACTGCCGCTTGTTGCACGCAGAAGCCGCCCCCCTGCAACTTAGACAATTACAAAAGTCTATTGAATAAATTAAATTTTTATGGAGAGGGCTGCCAGCAAAGCTTCTTGGAAAACTCGATTCCGAAATCATTGCAAACATTTATTAATCTCCAATCCCGCAGGACATCGACTTTGAAATTGGGTAAATATGCCAATCCATAATTGAGTGGGCAAACAGACAAACATTGATTTCCCATTGAATACTTGCGGCCCCAGGCGGGACACTCGCTTCCATTGCGAGCAATCAGCAAATTTCCTCGAAGCCCAACTGGCAAATACGAGTAGTACACACTCGCAGAGTAAATTAGAGCAGTGTAAAATTCAAAAGAAGTTTTAATTTATTGGAGTCGGTGGCAAGGCAAGGTGGAGCAATGCTTCCATTTGATATTTGAATTTCAGATCTTTGGATTTGTCTCATTTTTCTCTGCCCTCAAGGTTTAAAGACAAATCGTTCCAATTTTACTATCTTTTGGTTGTCCACTGTAGCTCGTATCGCATGTACCTGGAAGTACCGATGCACAGTATGTAAATACAGAATTGAGTACAGGTTTTTGATGGACAAATCCAATTCAATTTTGTTTGTTGTTTATGTAGAAAAGGGGCTCATACAAGACAATTAAACGCGTTGTTTTGGATACGTAAATGCGTCGCGTTTATCGATCATATTTTCTGTCAAAGAGTGAGGCCTCTGGCCTTCGGCATCTGCCGAAGATCTCGACATTGCGGATGGGCGCAGCATATCCACAGAGCCCGAGGAATGTCAGCGACAGAGTATGTAATAAGTGCCTCTCTGATCTATAGCTCCGAGTGAAAGCTGTACTTATGTTTCACTAGTATTTTGTACTTTCCGTAGGTACTACACACATTCCGACATTATTGAGGGATCCGATCAGAGTCTAGACTCTAGAGAAATACGTGCAACAGACACTGAAACCCTGTCGGGAACAGCCAGAACTCTAGGCAAGCACACCCAGGATCGAGAGTACGAACAACATGTCTTCGTGCTCCACATCGATGTCCGAGCAGGTGGTAGACGCGATCCTGGTGAAGGCGACGGCATCGCTGGAAGCCTCGCAGATGAAGAACCGCAAAGTGTACATCATGCGACACGGGGAGCGCGTGGACTTCACATTCGGCACTTGGATCCCCTACTGCTTCGATGGGCTTGGCAATTACATGAGGAAGGACCTCAATATGCCCAAGACCCTGCCACGTCGCAAGAACAGCCCCGGGGGCTGGCAGAACGACTCGCCGCTGACCAAGGTGGGTGTCTTCCAGGCAAACCTCATCGGCCAGGCTCTGCTGGAGGCTCACGTTCAGGTCGAACATGTCTTCTGCTCGCCCTCGTACCGCTGCATTCAGAGCTGCACCAGTGCCCTGGCGGGCCTCCAGCAGTGCGGACAGCACAAGATCAAGCTGGAGCCGGGCCTGTTTGAGTGGTTGGGCTGGTACCCCAGCGGTATTCCCGATTGGCTGACCAAAAATGAGCTGATTGAGGCCAACTACAACATCGATTTGGAGTATGAGCCCGTTCAGCCCTCGGATGTGCTGACTGCCAGCCTCAAGGAGTCCACTGAGGAGTTTTACACCCGCAATCACGACCTTCTGTTGCAGCTTCTGAAGCGCACAAGTGTGTACCATGCCCCACATACTTTTGATGTCTCCTTTGAAGCGAATTTAGTTTGAATTTTCTTTCAGCTGGCAATATCCTTGTGGTGGCCCATGCAACGACATTGGACACTTGCTCCCGCCAGCTGACTGGCGGGGCTCCACGGAGCAGCGACGAGTTGCGTCAGATGATGCACAAGATCCCCTACTGCAGTCTGGCCAGCGTGGAGCAGGTGAATGGCGTCTGGAAGCTGGTGGATCCCGAGTGCCTGCCGGTGACGCACTCGAAGAATCGGCGATTCGAGTGGAATGCTCTGGCTACCACCTAGTGCCAGACGGATCGCGCGATCGAGAAGAAAGCCCACGCGCCAATACGTTAATTATTTTGCTGAGCCTACACCTTAGTCCTCGCTCGGACATTGGACGGTGCAACAAAATTGTTTTGTAACTGCCACAGCTTTTGTTTCGATTCAAAAATCCCTTTTTAAATTTAAAGTAATTATGGAGCATGTTCCGCCCTTTGGCCAGTTGAAGGGAGTCGAATCCAAAGAGACCCAGTACTCCAGTGCAATCAATATGAGGAAATATATCTTCTAAAATATATTTACACATAGCACGAGAAATAAACCCCTCATGTACACATTTGTTAATTGAATTGAAGAATAATAAAATTAAAAGGCACGGAAGGCTGACTGCTGCGATTCTCCTTTTGTGACTGTCTGCTGTTCCTCTTTTTCTCTGCTGTTACTCTCCTCCTGCAGTTGTTGCAGGTTCTGTTAGGTTCTGTTAACATTGTTGTGCTGTTATCTGCTTAGCTGTCTCTCTGCTGTTGATCTGCTGTTAACCTCGCTCTGCTCGCTACTGCTGTTAAAGCTTCTGTTAATATTGTTCTGCTGTTGCCAGCTGCCCCCGAAGCTTGATTCAATTCGAATAAAAATATAATATGTCTATTATAAATCTTTGTTACATTTTGTAAATAAGCAAACGTCCGAGGAAATGCCAAAAGGTAAAAATTACAAGAAGAAGAAACAATTTCCTGATCTCGCGGTAATATCCGTGGCTTTAGAATGTGTCAAAGTGCAGCCAGAACTGGGAAAAGGAGATCTCCTTCGTCCGGTGACTGTGGCCCCGCCCCGGCCAGCGGTCAAGCCCATTAAGCGCGGTACTCTGGGCAGAATAGGTGAGATTGCAGTCAACTGTTGCAGTCAGCAAGTGAATGTGGATAGGATGCCGGCAGTTGCATACCATTACGATGTGAAATTCATACCGGAACTACCCAAGAAGTTCTACCGGAAAGCCTTTGAGCAACATCGCGTTAAATATTTGGGCAATGCTGTGGCGACCCTCGATGGACGTGCCTCGTGCTACTCTGTGGATAAGCTCAACTGCCGATCCCAGGGCGATCAGGTCAGTGTATTCGATAGCTATGGCCGTGAGCTTTGGTACCTGGTGGAGATTACGATAATCTCCCTTTGTACTTATATAGAGGCTCCGCCATGCCACAACAAGGCGATACGTCCGGGTCGCTGTTTCTTTCAGAAATCCGAGCCGAGCAAGTCTCGAGAGCATGCGTTCCGAGATAGATTCACACGTTAAAGGCATTTCCATAGCCTATGTGCCGCCAGTATCATTTGAAAGTTTCACGAGTTTCCCCAAGCTGCCGGCTAGCAAACAAACATTCGTGGCGGATTAAGGGAGGATGACCGTTGCAGAGTATTTCAAGTCCCGTGGCCATATTTTAAAGTATCCGAAGCCGCACTGCTTGCACGTCCGGCTGGTTTGAACTACAATAGCAGCGGGATTTCGGGTCATTCAATCGCAATGCATCAAGCGGGTCACCATTGAATGGAACTGCAACGCCCAGGGGGAATGGCAATCTGCTGCTGAAGACAAACTCAAAACTTAAAGCCACACGCTGAAGGTGATTCTTTCCGAATGGCTCACCCTCACAGCTCAACAAATTGAATAACGTTGATCCAGGCACCGTCCTTGATCGCACCATCCCAATGAGGTGCAGTGGTTCGGTTCAACAGTGCAGTCCATTCAGGGCATTGACCTGCTGCAACAGATGACCCACAATCTGTATCAAATGTTTCCACGCTGCAATCGTGTCGTCGTCTCCTATCCAGCTCCGGCATATTTGGCTCACTTGACTGCCGCACGGGACGGGGTATATTTGACTGGCACCACGACGAATACAAAAGCGTTTGATTAACCCAAGCCCAAGCCCCACATCGAAAAACCCAATGTACGTTGTTTAGTGGAATTAAATTTTGTTTCGTATCAAAAAAAGTTCAAGAAATAAATGTAAGAAATAAAGGTTGGTGTGTAAAAATTCAAATAAACATTCTGTTGAGTTCAGATTTGCTTCTCAAAACGATTTGACTGCTAACTTTAAAAAAACAAATATATATGTAATATTATGTATGTTTTCTCGTCAGAGCACATCCCAGACTTAAACGTCTTGTCTGATCACCAGAACTCGAAAAATGATGGCTGGAAAACAAGGCCAGGAAGGTGTTTGGCTCCTGAAAGCTAACAACAAGCTCAGCATATCGAACAAATTCCTGATCTACAAGGCAGTCCGGGCTCCAGTATGGAGGTACGGAGTCCAGGTCTACGGCATAGCAGCAAAGACGCACCTAACGAGGATCCGCACCTTATAGGGCAAGTTCCGACATGGCCGAGCTAAGAAGTCACCCAAACGTCCTGGCACGGAGACTTCCCAGATGCAGAAATCTACGAAGACTGGCCCGTGTCCACCCAACCGACCTGCCAACAGAGAGCTGTAGGAAGAAGCGCCTGAAGCATTGTTCCATATTCATAGATGTTGACATCACTGATCGCTGATCCAGTTGTTCTGTTTTATCAGCAATAAGACTTCATTTCTTTGATGTCATTAAAGCATTATCAGAATAAATTGTTAAGAGTTCCAGTATAGATGAGCCTAGTCTAGCTGAATCTATTACAACAAAATGTTAAATTTCGAGCTTGTGTTCCGTTGCCAGTTCATTTGCTGTGTATGGAATGATATTATTTATGCATCTTAAACTCAAACGAGAAGGAACGTGCGAGTCGCTTCTGGGGACGCGACTCTACTTATACCCGTACTCAGTCAGTATATACATTTTTGAGCTTATGATTTTTTAGAATTTTAGAATTAAAAAAAAAAAATTTTACATTTTTTTTGCTACATCTGTTATCTACATCTACATATATTATGTTTATTCTACATCTAACATGTAGATTATACATGTACCATTTAGATTCTACATCTCCTCCGCTAAGGGTAGCTCGCGCACTGAACGCGGCAGAGTGTGCGAGCGAGAAGGAAAATGAGTTGCGTTGTCGTCGGCAGGATGGGGCAGGGGAAGCAACTGAAAATTAATTTCTTCATTCCGGCTATAATTATGATCTGATCTGATTCAAAATCGGCAGTCTGGTAGATATGGTCATTCTCTACGATACTTAATTTTAGCGTATCTTTAAAAATGTGCCTGCCACAGATTTTCGTCCTTTGTGTGGGCGGAAGGGGGCGGGGCGAAATTTTGAAATACACTTGTAGCAGTGTGATATCACATGAGTGCGGAAACCAAATTTGGTTGCCCTATCTCTTATAGTCTCTGAGATCTAGGCGCTCAACAAGACGGACAGACAGACAGACAGACAGACAGACAGACAGACAGACAGACGGACAGACGGACAGACAGACATGGCTATATCGACTCGGCTATTGATGCTGATCAAGAATATATATACTTTATGGGGTCGGAAACGTTTCCTTCTCTGCGTTACACACATCCACTTTTACCACAAATCTAATATACCCCTAACTCTTTTTTCAGTACGGGTATAAAAACATGCCCTACCAAGTCGAGCCTTTGAAGAGACAAATGGAACGATGCAAATTTATAAAAATGACTTCGAATCATTTAATGGCAAAGCCCTCTGGCTGCAATTAAATATGGTATAGATCCCTATGTAAAAGAAACAAGAAGAAGGAAGAGAAAATTAAAAAAAAAGCACAGGGAGCAAATATTTAAAATTACTATTTTTAACAAGGTACTAGACACAATAATAGTTTTACTGGTATGAGGGAGTTAAATTAAATATTTCAGTTTCTAACACCATCATTTTTGGCGGATGTTCACCAAGAAACTTATTGGCAACAACTTTTCCCTACAATTTATAATACTTCTTTCGGAATTAAGAATGTCATGGACTATTATCCAATTTTGCAAGGAAATAATGAGAAAATATTGAGTGCTGGAACGCAGCCTAACAGAGGTAGTTACTCCAATGTTACCACGAGTATTTTATACAGTTCCAGTCACATCTGCCCAAACTGAAAGATCTTTTAGTAAACTAAAAATGAGAACACGAGTACTATGGGCGAAGATTGACTCTTCCACTTAGCGCTAATAGCAATAGAGAAAAAAACAGCATCTACTTGGGATTGAAGCGAAATCATTGATCATTTTATATTCTATTCATATTTATATTCATATTCTAAAAAATGCAATACAATAAAGCTTGTTAAATACGTACACACCACGTACATGCACATAAAGAGTTCAATTTACTTCCTTTTTCAATGCCAATATTATTATCCCTAACACTCACACAAAACCCCTTTTAATTAAAGCGCATCTGACTTTAGTTTGGGCCCCAATTTCTGTTTTGTACCGGCGCCAGTGGCTACCTATGTTGCTACGCCACTGCCTAAGCCAAAGACACTCTTGCTTCAATACATAGAAACATACACTCGGTACATACATATGTACAGACGTATGCTACCTAATCCTCAAGAGTCAGATTGCTCACGAACACAAAATGTTGAGATTATATCCTTACCAATTACTCGGTTATTGCCAAAAATTTAAAGTTAACTGATATTTGGTGCTCGATTTTGTTCCATAAAATAATTGAAATTTATTCTCTTTTGTTGCATGTACATAATGGAATTACCATTTGTCTTTTATTCATTGTATCTGCGTACATGAATTTATGTCTGTTTGTTTTGTTTCAGGATAAATTTGGAAGAATAATAATAATACTCGATGTGAGGGGAGGGGAACATTACAAACGTACTTTCATATAATAAAGACTCAAAAGGCTCTCTGGATGAACGGACTGGCACATTGGCTTTGATAAATGTACATTGAACATATTTTTTCCATGGTAACTTGTGATGTCTGATATTTATCAGACTGTGGGCTTTGAGTAGTGTTAATTCTGGACAACAAACGGTAGCCAGGAATCAAAATCAGGAAAGAGCAGAGAGCATAGTTGGGTAATTATCGCTGGCAGCGTTAATTAATATGTACAGCGTATAAAATTAATAATGAATATTTACAGCACTTGCTTTTGCCTTTGGCAGTGGCAGCGATTTTGAGATTCATTGTGAAAGAGTTTCCATTCGCTTTAAAGAGGGATTACGACGACAGGATCCATGGCAACACATGGGAATCACCCAAGTGGTTGTCGAGCAGCGCAGCGGGCAGAAGGATGTGGAGGAGTTGGAATAGGAAAAGGAGGGTGTACGTACAGGCGGTAATAGTGTCGGGGTTCTGTGGGAAATTTTGCATGCCACATTTTAGCATTTAGCAGCCTCCCAGCAGCC